ACTGCGACATATTTAATACAAGGTCTTCTTGCTTCGAAGCGTCTGTTCACACCTTTGACACGGGAAATTTTGATTGTGGTTCTATTAACATTACCTCTTATCAGAACAACCAACGTAAATGCATAATCAGTGCTTGCCCAATCTAGGTTGCCATCCTTCAAACGGGCTGCTGATTTGTGGCATTCATTGCAGATGATAAGACATACAGAGACAGCACAAAATGTACCGTTGTACTGTTTTTAGATGTCACCATTGGTGTCCGAAGTGAAACCATCATACGGTGCTGAGTTTTCCGTCAAAAAGGAAATGCCAGATTCTGTGTGTGGACCTGTCGACATCAGCAACAGTTTCTTCGGCAGTCAGCCTCCAAAAAAGTGATTGTTTATCTCATTCGATTTCATTGCTCTGTCTGTTTGTCACTTTTGACACACTGTTCTGCTTTTCAGACGTCAGCTCATCTTTCAAGGCTCAAAGAAACCGTGTAACTGTACAAAATCCCAGTGTCTTAAATTGTAAGCTTTTTATCATAGCTTTGCATTTCGCTGATTCGTGAACTACATCGCTTTTTTTGCTTTCAGATATTGTGACTGTTTCGCAAACGGAGAATTTTGCCGGAACTGTCACTGTACAAACTGTAAGAATAACCTCACTTACGAGATTGATCGTAGTAAAGCAATCAAGTCTTGTTTAGAACGGAACCCATTGGCGTTCCAGCCCAAAATTGGTACATTTAAATACATATTCTAAAATTTTCAGTATATTTTGTTATGCAGTTTCTTCAGATAATGAATTTTCCTTATTGCACGGCTAATCTCTTTGAAAATAAGGCTTAGCGTAATTTTATTATTGAAATTTACATCTTTGGTGGACAGATGCTTAAAACCATCAAGAGATGCAGTTTATAAAATCGCTTTCGTCAGATTATCTTAATCAATTATGTGCACATTAAATTAAATGCAAATTTTGCTCAGTCTTACGATAATTACGGTATAAAATACCTAGGCTTTTTCATTTTATTTGCTTCATTTCGATGTAACTAATCACTGTCCTTCGTTTTCCGGAGCACTAAATTTTAGTAGGATTAGAATTACCTGCTTAATCTCCAGTTCAGTTTCACGATTGTAAGAAATATACAGGTACTGTCTAGGACCAAAATCTAATTAAATCATTGAAGGTGTCTGCATGTTTAATGACCATTCATAAGATCTCAAAAGATTCAACTGTTGATCATATTACTAGCTTATTCATAGAATTTAATATCGGGATCATGTCGTGTCTCGTTCATTCAAAGGATAAGTGGTCATCGAACCACTGAGCGAAGTAGAAGTTTGTCCTATAAAATTTTTTGCTTTATTTCACTTCCAATTTTTCAAGCCCATTTTTCTCTACTGTTGGAGGCTCTTTTTTGACTCAATTCTAGCGCGGTTAGAAAAGATTACCTCCTCCACTTGATATTATAGATTGATGTTAGGATTTTCAAAGATGTAAAGGTTCACTTGTTTAGGTACAAATTCTATTTAAGGTTTGACAGATTCCCACTGCCTGCATCCTTTATGATCAAGCTTATAAAATGATCAAAAGATGAGGTTTCTACATTTCAGTTTTATCCATCTTATGAGTAGATATGTTTTTGTGTATACATGAATGGATTTAGGCGAGTTTTGTATTTCCGGAATACTAAGGTTACTTAAAATATACCAATATCTTTAGAACACGTTTTTCCTATTTACGTCTATTTCGAATCCATTTAATTTCGTTTAATTCAATAAGTTCAAAATAAGTTCGAAGGACCATTTACGGGATGAGACATGTGTAGTATTTTATTTACATATTCTCGAACTTTCGAACTATGCTCGATGGGTGTTCAGGCAGAGACGTAATATAAAACAGAATGTTATAGTATAAATCGGTGCAATGAGGTGCATACTTTCTGTACAGGTTGTAATCTCGATAGTGGTAGCTATTTAAAAATTTCGTTCTAGTGCAAACTTAGTTTTGTAACAATGTCTTTATTCATGCATTGGTTCGATTGAATTATCAAGGCACCCTTTATCTTTCGCTTTAAAAGGTTTTTCTCTAAGTGTATTCCTTTCTTTTGGTCCCATA